ACACAACGATCTAACAATAACAAAAGGCCTATCCATGCCGAATACCATCATGGTGTTCTCGTATCAGGGGGGAAGGATAACGGCCAGACCCTCAAAAGGGGTAATGTAGCACCCGAACATGAGAACCACTAATTTAGCCGATTACACGAAAAATTAGACTCTTAAAAAAATCGACCTATGTGTGTATCAGTTTATTTCGATTCACTGCTGATTGCAAAAGCACTCAGCAGCTAATCAATGACTGCAGGCGTACTCCTGCAAATTCAACCTCCACAATACTGCATAAAATATATACAGTATTGTAGAGGTTGAATTTGCAAAATCACACAAGATACGTTTAGTCGACACAGAAAATGTAATAATCTTAAGCAAATAACAAAGCAAAAATCAAAGGTTTCTTTGATTCTAATTGGATTGAAAGTTTTGATCGAAAACAATAGCGTAGATGATTTATTTCAGGACGCCTTCGGTCGATCGATCCAATATACGTGTTGTCGTATATTTGCATGATTTTGACCGTACGATATGATGACCTAATCGAAAAGTACGACGGAACTGTCACACAATGGTCATTGCAGTGTGGTGACATTGGGATTGAATTTTGAACGGTTCGTTGAAGTTGATAGGAAGAGGAGACGATTAGTGTGGATCGATGAATAAACGAAATGATTCGGTGAAAGAAGAATATGCGAAATGATGAATGCAAGTGACAACAACAAAAGAGCGGATAGAAGTCACAAAAACGATACGGATATGTTATGAACAAATCAAACGAGAATGACCACTGAACACAGAAGTGAAATTATTGTTTTAATTCTTTTATCCGTCCACACAAAAAGCAAACGGATAATCGCTTCAACGGTTCAATGTTAAGTCATCAATCACTTTATCATGTTTCAAGCGGTCCTCTTGATCTGGTTTCGATCACTCAGATATGCTAAATTCACTTGCATTGCGCATGCTATGAGCATATGTGATAACGAACAACAAAATACTCTGAATATCACACCGACTCACGATGTATATTGCGGCAAAAGTTTTACGAATTTACGAATGAATCATTTGGAGCATTGCAGAAATGTTCCGTAANGCATCTTCATAACCGTAAATCTTCATTGCTTGCTGTCTTTTTGAATATTTCTGAATGCGAGTCAAAATAATTACATCACCAAAATTAGGATTGAATTAGTTGAAAAACTTTATTCAATATCCGTTTTCATGTTGCGTGTGGTGGTGGTGTACGATGGGAATCTTGTCACAACTGCGTCATGTACTAAAACTAGTCTTCGAAGAGGATTATCATCCTTATGGCGAGTTGTCGTCCATTCACTATAAACGTTCTTCTCTCGTTCATTTCTATTTTTTCGGGAAATTATTCGTTCACAATGGACGGACGTTCATAAACCGGTAGAAATTGCATTAATCAGTGGCGTAAAAGATGATTGCGAACGAAAATGTGAAATGATCAGTAGAAATAATCGAGTGAGAGAAATTAGATCACGTTCTGATGAGTTGCGCAGAATTTGGAGGAGCAACCAAGTTTGAAGGCAACCAAAGTGACTACAACGAAAATCAATTTCCAGAATCAACAAAAGCGAAGTTGCGTTCTCGAAGACACATCCCACCAAGAGCGAAGCCAATTCAGCCAGCAAAGCCCCCAGTCGCAGTGAAAATTCCAGCAGCTCCAATCAAACAAGAAGCCAAGCCTACAGCTACGAGTATATGGTTGATTAAGGCATCATCACAGCCATTATTTGTTTCCATCCAAACATGAATAGACCTTGTCCACTTCAATGCAAAACATGCAGAAAAAATAATTGTTTTGAGGC